TGGAAGAGATCAAACTCTCCGCAGATTATCTGTCCCATATTATGCTGTCATGACGTGGTGACAGTTTGAACAAATTTGTAAAAACCTTATTTTTATTTAAAAAATGGCACCAAACTTCCTCTTTCTGCTGCATGTCCCAGTTTGATGCTTCGTGGTGATACAATGGACTGACATCCGAGTAAGGTGTTGCCATGGATATGAGCATTTTGGTTTATTTCTGGTTGATTTGGTCCCAGCTCTTCCTGCTGAAAATAATTGAAGACTTATTTAAGGAGGAAGCTACAGCCTTGTGTAATTCACCAGATCTTAAATAAAAGCGAATACCAGGAAACTCTCAGCTCCTCCCACTGGCAGGAAAACTCTGGTCACTGACCAACAACCAGTTGCTATCAACCGTATATTTGGTTTAACTTTTATTGTACCAGATGTCAAAGGAATTGCATCAGCCCAATTAGCCTTTGATTGTTTTTCCGCAAGTGCCTTTCCCAAGAAAGATGATTGTAGGTCAGGAACTATGAAATTCATACTTGTGATTTGTGTCAACATATCGTGCCTTAATATTTGAAAGTATCTCTCACTCGTTCAGCTTCAAAGTAATCAGATCAGAGCTTTGTGCAGCCTCTGATAAGTCTGACAACCGGGTTGCTGTATTTACTCTGCCTCTGATCTGCTTTGTATCATTTGAATGCAGTGTTGAGACAAATGTTTGTCCAAAAAAAAAGAAAAAAGAAAACAGATCAGATATTATGTTAGTGCAGAGGTTCCCAAACTAAAAATAAAGGTTCATAACAAAAGAATACTTCACTTTGTAGGTCAAATTAGTCACCATCTCTCCATATGGGAAAGGTCAAATAAATCCCTCTCACTGTTGTGACTGGAGCAAGAGAAACTGCTGAGAGGTGAGAATTTCAACTACCTCGGTGATCTTTAGCCTATTAGAAATTCAGCAAATTTATTATAATAGTAACAGAAAATGATATGCGGCCTACACAAAAATGTTGATTTATTAACGGAAAAGAAAAGCCAGAGATATATGTTCAATAAAATATTACACACATTTAAGATTAGAATAAATTAGATCACTAAAAAACCATTTCAATGCAAAAATGTGAACTCAATGAAACGCCTTTTAATACGTGCTTAAAAGTTATTTCTAAAAAAGGAACTTGCTTTTGTGTTTTGCTCTTTGCGCATTTTTTTTCTCTCTCTGAGATTATTGTCATTCAATTCCCCATTGAGTTGTAGTTTTCATCAGTTAGTTCTTCTCCTGTGTTTGATATTTACCTTGTTTCTCTGTCTGAAGAAATGCCTCAGCTGCATTCTGCCTCAGCCGTTCTTCATTTTCTTCTGATTAGTTTGCCTGGTTCCTCAGTCATTTTCCATCCCTTCCTTTATATTTAAGGTCCCGTTTTTTTTTTTCTTTTTTTTATTGTGTGTTGTTGGATCCTTCTATTACAATGCCTGCCTACTTGTTGCATTCTTTCCGTAAGCTCTCACTTTCATCAAAATACGTCAGTTTGTCTCAACACTTGGGTCCTTGCAAACCAAAGACATGTCAGTTATTACTTACAAGTGAGAATCATTGGAATGGATATTCTAATTTATTAAATGTCAAAATAAAAAAATTGAGAAACACCTTAAATAAAGGTTTTGAATTCAAGTAAAAAAAAAGTCTAAAACCTGAGCCTGCAGACAAAGATGTTAGTAGTTTGCAGAGTGTATGGCTACTTGCAGCCTGAGATGATCTAAATCAGATTTTTCCCCCTCCTTAATGTGGTCTGCATCTGATCTTTTCATGACACTATGAACAACACACATCAGATTTTTTTCTGAATGCTATTCTCCCATCGGCCACCAAATACACCAGTATACATTTTTCAGTTTTGTTCAAGGTGAAACAACTTAAGTGACATTGGTTAGTAATATTTCTTCTTTCCTAGCATATCCTAGCAACTTGGTGCTATTCCTCAAGCCTAAATGTCCCAAATTGTATTATTTTCTTCAATTCATCATTACCAGCAGTATCTTGATGCAAATGTTACCGTAACATTTCTGAAAATTCAATTTCCTTAAGAATGAGATAGAATTTCATTCTTTGCTTCAGGTTATTGTAATTTACTGGCATGTTTTCAATTCTACATTCTACAGTTACAAACACAGTCAGTCTTTGTAACTGCATGCACATTTATTGCTATTTAAGTATTTTTTTAACAGTAGGTGTAAAAAAGGCATGCATGATTCCCACTTACCTGCAAATGTGTTCCGTCAGCAGCTAAAAGATTAGAGCTGACTGACTCAAATATATAAGACATGTAGCAGCAGATTTACTTAAGGTTTGGCTCATGGTCGAGCCACAGAGAAGCATAGAAATAAAGTTTATTATTCATCTCAAAGTGAAACACAAAATGTAAGCCTTGTGAACTATTCATAATATCCATTGAGGTGATTCAATGTCCTCTGGAATCTTTTGATGGATGTCCATTGATTAGAAACTCCTGTCTTATCTCAATTTCTTGGGCAAATTGTAAAATCTGTTTAGTTATAAATTGTTTGCTTTTCTTTTATAGTCACTGAAGCACCAGAGGAGCAGTTTTACGTTGACTAATTACGGTAAATGTACAACACTGTCCATTGTGCTTCTATGTGGATAGGGTTGAACACAAAATAAAATCACTACTTTATATTGCTTTGCTCATGTTTCATTTTCTTTCTTGTATAAAAAAGGAAGTATCCTCCAAAGTTCTGTCAAGGTAGTTCAAGATTTACTTTTTTTCCCCCTTGCTTGACACCAATAAATTGGGTCAAACTCATGACAGCTGGAAACTTCTCTTAGTATAACGAGGATCCAGAGGCTCTGCTGTTGTTCTGACCTGACATTACTGTGGCTGTGTTGTGGTTCAGGTTCATCCTGTCACGCTTAGCAGGGGCTAAGGATCGTTAAAGCAAATGGAGAGCTTATTTAAGCAGATGAGGGCGTTATTATAAATGACAGGTACATGGTTTTCTTAATGTTGGGACATCATGGGGCTCTCTTTGTGCACCCTGCCTGCTAAAACTACATTAGTGTCAATGTTTCACCTTGAGAACTTGTACACTGTCAAAGTGGTTTTTGCAGAAGAAGCTATTAGTGCAGCCGTTAATTAATGTCGCTCCCAGTTAATGAAGGAAGCTTTCAGCACAGCTTGGCCTGTCTCCAAATAAATAGAGGCAAATAACTGTGCTGTGTGCATGCACATAGAGCTGAACTCAAACTTTTGTCTTGTGCACCTGCTTATTCAGGCTTTTTTGATTATTCCAGTCATTTAATTCAGACAGGGTTAGCTAAATTAAGGTATTTAGGCTTCATTGTGGGATAATTGGCTTTGTGAGCATGGGGAGGTACCATGCATTGCTTCTCCTCTGCTTTGCTTGGTGCCATCCTGCACCTCAAATTTAATGCACTGCAGACACACTGGCTTATGCCCACATTGCACTGCATTGTGTGGTCGCCTGGTTTTCGAGGATGCCGAGCTGACCGCAGGGTTCACAAAGCGAAGCTGGGCTGTCCATACAATAGAAAATATCTGAAGGCCATGCTGATGAAAAATCAGGCACTGAAAAAAAAAATGGCAGTAGCAGAATCCTGAACATCATATGTAAGCATAAGCGAAATACTATCTTAATTTACCGTTTCATTTACTGGACCTTAACGTTTCGAAGTTTCCAAGCATCTAAGGAATTAATTTTTCTAATTTAATCCATCAGACTGGGAATCTATATCTGCAAACTCCTAACGTCAAAGACTGCTGACCAGTACAGAAGACAAAAACGTTGATCAGGAATTTTTTTTTTTTAAATTTATTTAAGGGTGTTGATGGATTTGGTGTAAATCATCAAATTTCCCAGTTTTCTTTCTTTTCATTTGTGACATATCATCTTTTATTCCTGAGCGATTCATAGTAAAATTCTTATTTTACCGTAATTTGCAATTTTTAAGCGTCAGCATGTGAACCTTACCGAGAGAAAGGCAATGAAAGTCTTTTAAATAAAACAAAGTGTCACGAAAGTTTAGGGAAAGTGTTAAAATTCCAGATGGCAACCGTAAATTGAGATCGGTCCCGTTTCCTGGGACTTTAAATTATTTAACCGATGTCTTTTCTTGGGGTCGCTTATCTCAGCTTTAGGTTTAGATTGTTGCTCTGAGCGGAGCTGTCTTCTGTCTCGGTTTCTAATGAAAAACCGAGGAAAAAACAAGTGGTAACTTCAAAAAGATAATTGAGCCATTTTTCAGTGTGTGCAAAAAGAGAATTGTAATAAACTACTTCAGCTCACTGCATCTCTTATTTTAGTCCCTTCACGGATTAATAAAATATAACACACTCCCACACATACAGAGAAAAACTTTCCAACTCATTAAAGCTCTGAAGCACTCAGGGTAAAGAGGATGGAACCCTTTCGGGAATATTATAATTTAAAAGACGATTTACAAGGTCGCTAAAATTTTCGACAATTTGATCACATGTCGCAATCGTTTCCAAACAAAGCTCATTGAGTCCGACTTGTCACGCTGCTACTGGCATGTCCTGCAGGTCACTTAGCATGCTGCTGCTGCTGCAGGCTGGCTGTGAGGGGAACGGTGGAACGGTGGCTCGACGTCCTGCTATTAGAGTTCAGTGTTCCAGTGAGCGGCCACCGAGAATGGACACAGAATAATGTATGAAGAGCTACTTAGTCCCATGTAAAACTGCTGCAGAGGAAGCTCATGTGGGGAAAGTGTGTGTGTGCGTGTGTGTGTGGGGGGGGGGGGGATAGTTTGTGTAATAAAAGCACAATACAAGATTTGAAGTAGCAATTGGCAGGGCTCCCTATGCATGAGTTACTGCGTCAGTGGTGCCGTAAAGGCGGTCAGTATGTGGCATTGCTGAAGTGTTAAAGAAGCACAGGTTGCTTTCGATGTGGCTACTTCAGTTTGTGTATTTCTGAGCCTGTTGTCACTTCTTTTCCTCCGTGTAACACCTCATGTTTTCTGAAATAATCCAGTTTTATTTGTCAACCAAGCACAGCCACAGAAAAGGCCATTAAAACTTTTTGCCCAAAATGAGTTTCAATGGTCTCACTGTCGCTGGGTGGACAGGAGGCTGGTCCTCGGGGAAACTCAAATCAGCATCTCCATAAGGTGGTTTTGAGTGATGCTGTAATCTTCGGAAAAAAAGCTGAATTTGGGGTTTCATTGGCTGTAAGGCATAATTTTTAAACTTAACAGAAACACAGGTTAATGGAGCTCGCCATCTATACATGTTTTGCTTTGTAATAAAAAAAAAAGTTCCAATTTACATGGATGGTCCTGCGTTTCTATGCCTTCCTCTATTTTGAACCTAACTTTGTGTTTCAGTCTTTTTTTTAATATATTTTTGTCTTAGTTTTATAAAGAATATGAAAGTTATGTGCAAGTTTTGAATACTACTTTGCGTACTAAGAAGTATTTCTTCAGTCACATGGTGGGCATGTTGTATATTCATCCTCTGCGTCTCCCTCTCAGCGCATATGTAATCTTCTCATGTGCGTTCAAAGATTTGTAGATTCGTTCCATTATTAAAATGTCTGGGGTAATTAGGATTATAATTCACTATAATCAAGTCCCTGTGGATGTTTCATGTTCCGTGATAAACACTGCTGAGCAGAAAAATGCAATATAGCGGTTTATTCACAGGGGGAAATAAAGCCACAGATTCGGTTTGATTGAAAGAACGCACACGCAGCTGGGTTCATAGAGAAGAGTGAAACAATTTTTGTTGTTGAGGAGTTTGATGAGGCATTGAAAATCAATAGCTGGGATATTATGTGGAAATGAGCAGTATTGGAAGTAGATTGCATAGCGACAATTTTGCATTGTTTGAGTAGAAGGTATTGGAGGGTGGCTCGATGTTTAAATAAGTTATATTAGTTAAATCTGTCTAAATAATGAAAACTTTACAATAGTTGTAATCAATAAATTAGGAAATGCATTTCTATGAGACTCACTTGTCAAATTAAAAGTATCTCTGTATAAAAATGTTTTTTTGTTGTTGTTGTTTGACATAACTTTAAATATTTTTGTCAGCTTTAGGTAGAAAATAATTCACAGGAATAAAAGCTTGTTTAATGTACCCATGTAATGTTTCATTTAATCAAGTTACTCAACAAATACACTTTTCAACAATATTCTAATGGATTGAATGTAACTACATATGACTACATATATTTAAGTACAAATTACTTCTCATTCAAGCATAAAATTGCAGATCTTCGTCACAAAATGAAGTGTGAATAAACAGGGTCGACTACAAGTTCTGCCACTGCTGGTAAAAGTTGTTTAAAATAGTTTGAATTGTTCTTTTATTACAGAAGTA